TTTTTTTGGCAAATGGTGTCTGGACAATGCAGTAGTCTCCTGTGTTGTCTCGAGATTCCATTAGTCAATGTTCAATTGTGGCTGTATTTCGGACATTGCAAATCTAGGTTGATAATAAGCGAACTATTTGTGTGTGTGTGTGTGTGTGTGTGTGACTCTTTCGCTATCCTGTCTTCACCTGTACCAACATCTGATATATATTTGTGGCAAGAAAAAATTCGAAAAGATTCACACTGAATAAAATAAGGTAGACCCCAGGTTCACCATCACCTACACCAATGTGAGTCGTCTAAGAAACAAAAAAAATTAGAGGGATTGAACTCCATCTTCAAGAAGTCAAACCTGACCTTTTTTACTGTCCAAAACTGATATAGGTCTGTCTGACCCAGTGCAAAAAGTGAGACATGGCCCTCGAATCAGCGCCTAAATAAAGGATGGTCTCACTATCTATCTATCTATATATATATATATATATATATATATATATATATATATATATAAACCTATATATATATATATAAACCTATATATATATATATATATATATATATATATATATATATAAACCTAGTAAGCCAGACAAACCTGTCTAGGTTTCACCTAAACGGATCGTCTGGGAAAACTGGAAAACTAGTGCGCCAGTTTTTCCTGACGATCCGTTTAGGTGAAACCTAGGTCGGTTTGTCTGGCTCACTAGGGTTATCTAGGTCTGCTTTACGGTTGTATTGAACTCTTTTGTTAGTTAGTTGTTTACTCGTATCGGGGTTTTTTCTTTGGGCTTCAAACCTGCATCTGTGCGATTTTTTTCAACAGACTTTCATGTTTGTAGCTGTTTCTTTTTTTAAAACCTTTTTTTCCCTCGAGATTGATTTGATTCTTGACAAATCAAAAATTCGAGGGTTTTTCGAAACGAGTATAGTTATCTATACATATATATATACATATATATATATATATATAACAGAGACCCACAAAACGAGGACTATGATTTCTCTTGTATGTGTTTGTTCATAGGACCACCCTCAGCATCACTCTCTATAGTCCAGTAAACACTATTATAAAAAACGTATATTGCATGCAAAACTAACTATTTCCCACTAAGTTGTCACTGATTTCAAACAATAAACAACACAAAGAAAACAGTATCAATATTTTGTATTATTGTTAACATTATTATTATTATTATTATTATTATTTTGATTTGTTATTGAAGAGAAACATTGAATGAGAACACACTAACTGTGGGACATATAAAATCCATATAAAAACATCAGTATAAAAAAAATACTGACCAAAGCTAGAGAGGTTAGATAAATTAAAATAAAAAAAATGTAATAAAATAACAATACTTTATAAAAAAATTAAAAAAAAAACACACACACGAGGAAGGAAATAATGAATGGGAGGCGGGTCTAAAAGTAAGTTAACATAAAAGGCGAGTGAAACCTTGACGATTGACTTGGCAATGATTCAAATAGAAAACACTTTCATATGGGCTTGAACCGCTGCCAAATACCCAAGCACGTATGAGATGAGAAGCGAAATCGCATGTTACGCATGAGCTTCCCACTATTTGAACTTAAGCTATTTGAATACCAAACAAATATAATGTTTTTCTTCAAGTCGATTAATTTACAGTTGTTTTCACTCACGGCGACTTCGTGATTTTTTTAATATATTTACATTTATTGGCATCTTAGCATATCTTTCTGCTTAAATGTATGAATCAACTGACCTGTGAAATCAAGATCTGGGTTGTAATATTTTATCGTTGTTCACAGATCAAGTTTAGTTGATTTGTGTGGTTTTTCCCTAATGCATGTGTTCTACCTCCCCCACCTCTCCAAACGCCATGACTAGCCAGTAGCGGGAAAATATGTGAGGATGCATACGTGTACATTTATGCGTGTATAAATATCACATGCAAATAATCTAGGTGCAGAGAACATTATCTATCTATCTATCTATCTATCTAAAAGTGTATTCATATCTATCTATCTATCTATCTAAAATTTTATTCATATCTATCTATCTATCTATCTATCTAAAAGTTTATTCATATCTATCTATCTATCTATCTATCTACAAGTTTATTCATATCTATCTATCTATCTATCTATCTACAAGTTTATTCATATCTATCTATCTATCTAAAAGTTTATTCATATCTATCTATCTATCTATCTACAAGTTTATTCATATCTATCTATCTATCTATCTAAAAGTTTATTCATATCTATCTATCTATCTATCTAAAAGTTTATTCATATCTATCTATCTATCTATCTATAAGTTTATTCATATCTATCTATCTATCTATCTATCTATCTATCTACAAGTTTATTCATATCTATCTATCTATCTATCTAAAAGTTTATTCATATCTATCTATCTATCTATCTACCTACCTAAAAGTTTATTCATATCTATCTATCTATCTCTATATATATATATATATATATATATATATATATATATGTATGTATATATATATATATATATGTATCACAGTCTACTATTCATCTCTCTCTCTTCTATATATATATATATATATATATATATATATATATATATATATATATATATATATATATATATATCAAGGTCTATTCATCTCTTTCTTTATTCATCTCTGTATCTCTAGCTAGCTATCGAACCGTCAACTTCTTTCTGTCTCTGTCTCTCTCTCTCTATCTATAAAGACAATTCATATGGAGGTGATTAAATAAACACTTGAATCAGTGTTACATTTTGATGTTATTTTTTCATGGTTTTAATATATATATCCCTGAAAATGATCAGGTTAATATCTCCATCACACGGAGCAAAAAAATGAATTGAAAACAAACAAATAGAAAAACACTTCAGATATGTACACTATTAATAACAATTAACACATTATTAATTAATTATAAAATTAATAATAAAAACCGGTATTAATCAGAGATATCAATTATAGCTCCATAAATAGATCCGTTATCAAGTAGAGGTTCATAAAAATCTGATATTAACTGCTGATTTTAATTATAATATTTGAATACCATCGTCCTTGATATGGGACGCTAGGCATTAATAGGTTAATAATGCTAGGGGATGTGAGTGTACACACTAACCTATCTAACCGGTGCCTCCCCTATTGTGTCTTTTAGTTCTCACATGGTGAATCAACATGTCTGGATGCCTGGGAGGCTTACGTTGAAACACTAGTTCCTGTACGAGCAACGTCGAACCTGGTCAATACATAGATGGGTGACCCCTTGAGAATACAGGTGCTGTAGGCTTGGATGTGCGGGTGGTATTATGAATAATGTCTCGAACTTGTTAATCGGAGAGCTGAGTTCCATTTCCCGTTGGTTTCAGTATATTCGCTTGCGCACAAATACCCTTGGGAAAAGTATGAATTTACCTCTTTCCCCTAGCTATGGGTTAATTAGTAAGACTTGTATTGCTAAAATATTCTTATCTCTAATTTTTTTTTTTTTTTTTTTACAATCTGAAAATATTTTCTGGCTGTTGAAAAGAAATAAAGAAATCAATAAAGAAATCAATCTGTCGACTGAACCGAGTTTGGTCACGATGTTTCCTACCCAAAAGGGAAATTCTGGTTCCAATGATTTCTGGGTAGTGGACACGTCATATTGCCACTGTATCTTCTTTCTGAGATGGCTTATCCCTTCATTAACGGTGCTGAAGTAAAGGTTTTTTTGGTTGACGTTATATGCGTGTGATTCAGGGATCCGCATACTCTTAGAGTAACGGTTATCTTATCAATAGGTGTCTAATATCGCGGCTATTTAGTGAATAGTGTCTAGACTATGCAGTAGTCACCGGCGGTGTCTCTCGATTCAATGATTATGTATTTAGTAGCGCCTGTACTTTCGGACAATTCGATCCAAGTTGCTGATACGCGCAATATTTGTGTATGTAATTCTATCCCGTCCTTACTGGTACCAACATCAACTGTAGCAACAACGAAATCGAAAAGACTTACCAGTGTATAAAAATTTCAGACATTACTTTCACCATCACCTACATCAATGAGTCTAAAATAAAAATAAAAAATAAAAATCCAGAGGTTGAACTCCATCTTTAGGAAATCAAATGTGACCTCTTTTTCCTATCCAAAACTGGTCTATCTAACACAGTTCAGAAAGTGGCACATGACCCTCGAAATCAGCACGGCCACAAAATCGGCACATAATTAAAGAACAGTCTCACGGGACAGAGCTCCACCAAAAGAGGACCTTGATTTCTATTCTATGTGTTTGTACATAGGACCATCTTCAGTTTTACTCTCTACAGAACTGTAACCACAGCTACAATATCTACCACAGGGACCGGCGTATTGTGAACCATGTTTCATTTGGAACTGCCCGCACACATTGCTTAAGAGTTCTAGAAAATGCAAAGTGGAGCTATACACAGACAATCAAAGATAGCGTCGCATGCAACAGACTTGCATCCGCTGAGTTCTGAAAAATCTCTAACAAAATTCTTAATAAAATCAAAGCGTTAGTGCCTATCACAAATGACCTAGAGGTTATCTCATCAGCGTCAGATAAGTCAAAGTTCTCAGGAAGCCCAAACTTTGTAATATCTTTATCATGGCCTGAGAAATTTCCAGATTTACCCAAATATTTGACCCTAAGAAGTTTACCGCTATTAAAAAAAAAAAAAAGCATTACTGTGGTTCTTCTTAAGAACATTAGCCAAAAGGTATCTCCGGTCTTGGCAAAATTGATTAACCGCTAACTGAAAGAAAAAAAACTTTCACAAAAATAGGAATGCTCTAAAGTGTACGATGTCTTTTCAAGAATGCGCGCAATCTCGTCGGGATATCAACCCATCAGACCCCTTAATATCACCAGTAAAATTTTTGCGGCTATCAACAAAATAAGGATTGTTCATCACCTCTGCAGAGCCAAATGTAAGCATGCTCCAATGCGCGATTCCCGGTCCTACACCATTTCTGCTTTCTGATATTAATAATCTGGCTTACCTCCATATCACGTTGAAACACCGGTTTCGTTGATCATCGAAGTTAAACAACGTCGAGCCTGGTCCGTATTTAGATGGGTGAACACTTGGGAATGCTAGGTGATGTAAGCTTGGGTGTGCAGGTGGCGTAATGCATAATGACTTGGAACTCCAAATCGGAAAGTCGAGTTCCAAGTCCTGTTGGTTTCGTTGTTTTCACTTAAGCCAAATTACCCTTGCCAAAGTTATGAATCGACCTCTTCTCCTCCTAGATATGGGTTAATTAGTAAGATTTGTATAACTAAATCGTTATTATCTCAAAATAAAAAAAAACACAACCTAAAAATATTTTCTTGCTTTAAATAACCTACCAAGATTTGGTAGGCAGTAAAAATTATTAGGTTGGTGTAAAAATAATGTCGTAATAATGTCGTTTTTTGACGTATTTTTTAACGTCAAAAAACGATATTATTACGTCATTATTTTTGCACCAATCTAATAATTAATCATTAAAAATCTATGTAAGTGGAATATCTAAGCAAGTGATACAATGGTATATGGCTGCACTTCCAGAAATCTGGATGATCAGAACATTACAGTTGATCTCTCATATGATCTTGGTATGACAGCTCAATGGGGAGAAGACTGGATTGCAACATTTAATATCTGACACTAAGGACGTTATATCATTACCGAGCAGACCATAAATTTTCGCCTATTGCAATGAACGGCGTCTCTTTCAAAAAGACTCCTTTGTCCTAAATGCGTACTGAAGTTTCTACCCACTCCAATCCTCAAGTGGGATTCGTATATACAATCATAAGTAAGGAGTGTAGGATAACTAAGCACCGTCAATTGAATACTGCTAACTGAGCGCTGTGACAACTCAGAACCGAGACAACACATCACCAAAAATGATATTTTTTTATAATCGATGAAATTTATTAAAGATTAAAACTTTAATTAATGATTATTTTTCTTGAAATAAAGCATTTGGAAATGAATTATGTAAAATATGAACCAGTTTTTGTTTTTAATTATTCTTAACAACGTAAGTAAATTGACATGTAAAAATTAATTCAATCAAACACACTTATTGTTAATTACTTTTTACTAAAGTAAATCGAAAAATGTAAAAGAAAATGAAACAGTTTTGATTTTTAATTATTTTTAAAATAGTAAATTGTAATTCAATTTATTTTTAATAAAGTAAATCGACATTCAAAAATATTTTTTTTATAAAAAATATAACATTTAATATTGTGGCTTATTGAAATTATTTGGCTGACAACTATTATAATTTACATTACGAGTTCGATTCTTATTTGGTAAGCCAAATTGTTCGGCCATCTACAAAAAATTCTGGTGTAGTTGTACGAAAAGAACAAATGTACTCCGATGAAGGCCGATCGATTTCACCCAAATCCGTTTAAAATTCTACCAAATAACTATCATAAAAGAACTTTCATGACATAATAATATATAATATCCTACAATTTCTAACATCAAACTTCATATAACTTCAACAAAACTACAACATTCAACGCACAGATTACTGCTTCTCGTTATTATGAGAACACAAACATATATTTGCACAGAAGCTGAGTATCACCTACCTTGTATTCAATTGTGGAAACGGAATAACACATTACATTTATATTAGTTAAAAGCTCCCAAAAAAATTAAATTGCGCCATTAAGTGACCCATAAAGGAGTTGATATACCGTTGAACATACAAATCAGTCAATCAATAATCATTCAGAAGGTATTTGATTATGAGTGTCCACACTTAAGTTTTGTCTTATTAATTATGGCGTGATTTCATGGGAAAGACGGCGAAGTCGTTTCCAGTTATTTTATCCAATGCTTGAATTCAGTGTTTTCGTTATTTTGGATTTATTATCAGCCAAGGCTAGAGAGGGAGGTCTACCCTTCCATTTAACCATACTTTACGAGTTTTAAATTGTAGCAAGTCTATGCAAAACTAAATAATTTCCTCTTTAATTTTGGCATTGTTCCATCATTACCGAGCAGACCATGAATTTTCGCCTATCGCGATGAACGGCGTCTTTTTCAAAAAGACTCCTTTGTCCTAAATGCGTACTGAATTTTCTACCCATCCTAATCCTGGGTTTAAATAACCTACAAAGAGTCGGTAGGCAGTAAAAATATGTAATTTGTAAGTATACAAAGTAGTGCGGAGAATTTCTCAGCTCATCTGATTTCCAAAAATTAGAGAAAGTCTCATCTTTTAAGCATCCCTTCTAGAGTGGATCTACAAATTTTCGGCATTGTCTTGTATTTCTATTCAATTTACGATCTTTGACGTCATGAAAATGGTATGTATAATCTATTCCTCTCTACGGATTTAACGAACTGCTTCTTCCTCTCTTTTTTTTTACTTTTGCTGACTTGAAATCTCTTACCAAGAATTCTCTATAGGCTGCTACATTTAATGTGTATTCTTAGATCATCAGCACATTAATAACTTCATGCCACTTTTCCCTCTCTGACTTATTCGTTACTGACTCTATCAGCTAGAAATTCCATTTGCAGTCTGAAGTATAATCCCTAATATTCCTCTTTGTTCTCTGCTTACCAGAAACCTCAGATGTCAATAGGAAAAATCGGTCGAATAGAAAACAAGAAATCCCAATGCTCTAGTAGGTATCTCTTTGCTTATAAACAAAATCGATAGCGCCTGATTGATTTACACGATAGAGTAAGTATAAAGTAATTAAATGCTAAATTCTGCAGAGCACTATGAAGAGTTAAATTTATATATATATATATATATATATATATATATATATATATATATGATACGTGGGTGATGTTGGGTTTTTGATGTTAGTTATATTTAGTTAGCAAATAGCTAATTAACAACATAACTTCATATATGCTTTCAAACAGAGTACATTTGAAAAAGTGCAATTCAAAAAAAAAAAAATTCAATTGGATTGTTTTAATTAATGGGAATACACAAACATCTTCATATCAAAGAACACTAGTTTGTTTTTTGTTTTTTTTAAATTTAGTTTGTATTTAAAAAAAAATAGTTTGTATTCCTCTATTAGGAAAAATGTAAGTGGAATTTTTTTTCTTTTCACACATTTCGTCCTTTAGGACTTCAGACTAAATTTGTTATGTTGGTACGACTACACATGCGCACGAAAGAGGGATGCTGGGAATTTAATTTTTTTTTAATCTTTTTTTTTTTTTTCACAGAATAACAAATTCACTCAGATTACGTCCAAAAGACAAAACGCGTCACAGGTAAACTTTTCCTCTTTGTCATACATTTTCCCACAAAACTGTTCTTGATATACAAAATATATATATATATACCTTTATCTCATTCCACTACTAGAATATTCGAAAGTTTACTTATTTCGAGCAGAATGTATAATCTCTAAAATGCATTTCAATCAGATGGGACAAAAGTTGATTGAATTTTCTTTTCTCTTTTCATTCATGTTATGAAATTATTTTTAGTGAGACATGAGGCGGAGAAGTAATAAAAAGAGGAAAAAATGTCAAACAATTACGTCCTGACCCCTCAAAAAAGAGATATTGAGCAAAATTTAATGGGAAAACTACCTCAGGGGGACGTGTTGTAATGGAATGTCACACACTCCCTATCGATTATGTGGACTGACTATATCAATTGCTATATATAGTGAGCACATGATATACTTGGGGCTACCCGATCCCTGTCTTTCAGTAGTATATTTTCTTTTACAATAAACATTTCATCTACGCGGGTGTTGCTGTTACATCACTCGCGTACAACCTTTGACTGTTTTTAATCTCTTTAGGGATACAATAACTTTTTTACCGTTTTTTTTATTTATTTTAATATTCCATGTCCCTTCAGGACGTGGTTTATCATGACTCTCCGCAACTTCCTATCCTTTGTAGTACTTAACAATGTTTATTTTTTTAATATCATTCCCACCTTCCTGTTCTTATATCCATTTGCATAATTTACACGTTCTCTCTATCCCTTTTGTATTCGAGCCGTCATGTGAGTGTCAAATTTCCCAACCATTTTTCCTCAATATATCAACTACTCGCTGAATGAGTTTTTATTTCTATTTGCTTACACGACCCGTACATAGCATTCTCATCATCCTCCGGTCTAACCACATATCTCTTGCATCAATTCTCTTCCTCGTGTATAACAAAATTGTTTAGTATTCACTACCATATAAAGGGTGTTTCATTAAGACGGATTATATATAAGGGTGTTTCATTAAGACGGATCAAAGTCAGCAGTAAATAAATCAGTGTTACTAGTGAAAATTTATCTATTGGATCATGTTATTTAAGTCATGGCAATTATGTGTGAAAAATTATATTGCCCAAATGTCCGACAAATCTGAAAGAAAAAAAAGCATTAGACAATTAATCTTAATATCTTATATATATATATATATATATATATATATATATATATATATATATATATATGTGTGTGTGTGTGTGTGTGTGTGTGTGTGTGTGTGTGTGTGTGTGTGTGTGTGTGTAAAGCGGGTGGAACTGCATAATTGCCCATCCCAGAAAATTTTTAATACCTAAAAAGACACTAAACTAATTGCGGTTCATTTTTCCAGGGTTTCAGACAACGTTTAGCCACCTTGACTCAATTTATCGTAAGAACACTGAATAACCCTTTGAGATATTCAGCTAGAAAGAGATAATCGTAATGGTACCAACGTTCATACTCAGGATTCCATCTTCAAAATCCATTCCAGAACCAGCAAGAGAACGGCGAATATGTTTTCAAAAGAGTGATCAGTAGAGAGGAAATCTCGATGAGGAAGTCACAACAGGAAAAAGGATCATCACTTCAACTTAAATCTAAAAAAAGATCAAACTCAAGTCATAAAACGTTTGGCATGTGAGAGTGGATTTTCAGCAATGACAGTCCGAAGAGAAATGAAAAAAAAAAAACGTAGTCGAAACCTGTGACTCACCTTGTTACTACAGAACAGAAAGTTAAAAGTTTACTGAGGGCGGTGATCATTTTGAAACAATTGGAAAATGATCTTGGAATAATATACATATTTGAACTTTATTTCAATCCTTCATGAGTCTCTGATCCTTAGCTATGATTAATTAATTATG